GAAATAATGTTTTGAATAGTGATTTTAGTACTATTTTATTGTATGAATATGTGATTGAAAATGAATATAAAAAATAAAGAATTTTAATTTAAGGAGAGTCAAACATGGGCTAAGTATAATCTAATCTATTAGATCACAGAAAATCCAACTATATTTTATACTGTTGAACATTTAGCATGAAAACCATGGTATTATCATACTTTAAAAGGTAATAGGCGCAAAAGTCCCTAACTTTGCAGGTTTTTGTGAAAAACGTCAATACCTTTCGTTTTTTGGCTCAGATCGTCCCTACCTTTCACATTTTTGGCGCAGAATGTTCCAACCTTTACCTTTTCTTGCACAAAACATCATTTTTGTCCCTTTTTGATCATTTTACCATTCTATTAAAAAAAAAACAAACACAAAAGAAAAGAAAAATAAAGAATAAATTGCAATTATGGGTTCAAACTTTTAAAAATGTGCAAATTAGTCACAAATATAAAAAAACCAATCACTCCTAAGCTGCCACATTTGAAGGCAAAATTCTCAACTTCCGATCACCTTCGCCGCCAGACCAATATACCACCTTGAAGCCCTCATTGCCCTCTTCACAACCCCCAACCACCAACCCCAACTCTAGTAGATTTGACCGGAATCGAACTTCAAACATTGTCGCATAAAATACGGTAAAACGCCGGAATCACACCGTCCGGCCACCTTCCTGGCCGGAACATACCACCGGCCAACTCCTCTACTCAGGACGACCTCGACCATGCAAACAATTTAGCCCAAACAACACTGATGAGATCTGAATTTCAAATTGAAAGCTGCCCGTCGCGAAATCGTGATTTTCGGGACACCGCACCAATTTTCCCCAATTCAGGCGCCGTCGCGACTACCCATGGTGGCGGAACACCTGGGCTGGGTGAGCCATCACCTGGCGCACCTAGCCCAGCCATGGGTCCCTTGCAATTTGGCTCCAATCATCTTCAATTTGGGTCTGAAATGGTCGCGGGTGCAAACTCGTGACTGGACTGTAATTTCTTTGAAATTAGTGGTTGTTGGTTGCATGTTGGAGGAAATTATTTACATATGTAGCTTTGACTTGATGAGAGGAGTCAACCAGTGGTGGATTCCGGCCGGTTGGGTGACCGAACGGCGAGTTGTGGGTGTTTGATCGATTTTCAGGCTGTAATTTTTGAATTTGATTTCTAACCAAATTACAATGAGTTATGGGTATTTCTTGGTATGTAGTTGTAGAGGGTAATGATGAGAATATGTTGGGACCAATATTCGATGGTTTGGGCGGTCAGAGGTCGCCGAAAAATGAGCTGATATATTCGGTTGAAAAGGGGCAAGAGATATTTTTTTTTCTTTTTAATATTTTTATAAGTTTGGATTGATTTGCATTTTTTAGAAAGTTTAGGAGTAAGATTGCAATGTATTCTTGATTTTTCTTTTCTTTTCTTTTTTGTTTTATTATATAGGAGAGTATATTAGTCATTTTATGTTAAAAATTGGTCAAAAGAACGTTTTACGCAAAGAATGTGAAAGGTATGGACATTTTGCACAAAAACGTGCAAATGTAGGAACGTTTTGCGTCAATTACCCCACTTTAAAATTATAATGTCATGAAAAAAAACAGAAATTCATAAAAATAATATCGTGACAATTTAATATATATGTGCTAGACTAGATATTTTTATAATGTTTTAAAATTCGTTTATTTTTCATTTGACAAAGTTTTTGGGGAAAGAACTGATTTTAAATAGTGATATAATGTGAAATGTATGGTTGAAAAAGAAGAAAAAAATTATTGATATGATGTAAAATATTATTTTATTGAAAAATGTGTGGTTAAAAATGAGAATTGATTTACTGTAAAATTTTGAGAATCCCTCCCAAACAGAGCCTAAGATTGTTTATTATTTGACAATTTATGCATTCATGGTCCCTACACTAGGGTCACGTTCACGACTTCAAAGAACGTTCCATGCAGCCGCCCATGTGCGATAAGAATTAAAATTAAATTTTTAATAAATTTTAATAGAAGTTGATGAAATGTATAGTTGAAAATTCGTGCAACACATAAAACATGTGGTTAAAATTAATTATTAATTTTTATTTAAATTAAAATTTGAATTTTAATCGATACCAAAACAATTTCTAACAAACAAAAACGACAAAATTGCAATCGATAGGACAATTTGGTGTCTTTGAATTATTAGTTGTGGAAAACTTTAGCTTGCGGGGCACACTTTCTTTTATCAATCTGAATTTAATTTCCAGGAAGAAAAAAATAAAATGTGAATCAAAATTCAAAAGAATTGACAAAATTTGCTTCATGCACAAGCCTTACGCGAGCTAAATTTAATCGTCTAGAAGAGCAACTTACAATTCTACTTTCACAAATTAAAAAAAAAAAAAAAAATTTTGTACATTAATAGATAACTACCATGTTTTCTACTTTCACAAATAAAAAAATAATAATTATTTTAAATCTTACTTACCACTTATAACTAAACTTTTTAAGCTTAGTCAAATTAATATGCTCTTGTTGGTAAAATTGGTGTATAAATTATATTCTGATCACTAAACAAAAATTCAAACAGAATTTCGACTCATAGAAATCAATAAATTTAGAAAGAATAAATGCAAATAATGACATTTTGATCGAACAACACTAGTTTTTGTTCGGACCGTACTATAGGTATATGAATTTGAATTCCCGTATCTGAAAGAATACCCACAACAGTGGGGTGGGGTGGGGTGGGGTGGGGGATTTTTGTCAATATTTTAATTACATGGGCTCTACCCCATGTGAGTGAAATTCAAAATTTCGTATCAATTTTGTGCATTATTCTCTGTACTCGCAGCATTATTCTTTTTGTTTATATGTTGCCAGTCCTTGCCAGTCCATACGTAAAATGTTAGTTATCAAAATATAATGTATGCATTAATTTACCAACAACTAAGACATTTTAGAAATTTAAGACAAATTAGAAATTTTTTTTTTTTTTTATGCTACTCGTTTTCACTAGTAATTTATTGAAGCACCTGGTTTACGACCTTTTCTGGGCTTAGTTGTCATCTTTGACTGATGCTGGACCTTTGGAACCAGTTGTCAATTTGAATTTATCACTGCCTAGTTTTTGGGTCTTACTTAACGTCTGGCGACTTCTTTTTTCCTTCCTATTTCTGCTCAATAAATCACTAATTTTCAAATCAAATTTAAAAAAAAAAACTTCTTTTTCCTCATACACGTTTTCGTAATTATTATTATTATTGCAAGAAGTCTGTTTTCTACACATCATAGAGTACTTAGCGGATTTTTTGGAATCACAATATTCATATTCTATAACTCGTATAATATGTTATTAAATAGCTTAATAATTAATTAATTATCCAACATGAAAATTCTAATGAATGTGCTGTTAAAAAATTAATAAAATAGTGACTCTCATAAAATGTATAATTAAAATTAATTATTGACTTTGACATAACTTTTTTTTTTTTTCATTTTTTATCTATTCCAAACAAGCACGTAATTCACATGTTGCATTATGATTTTCAACACTTTACATGATTATCAAAAAGAAGTGAAAAAAGATGCCAGGAAAATGTTAATGGGATTTGTTTTTCTCTGACAGAAGCACATAGAATATCACATCACAATTGTGTGGCTCAAAATTTTATTATAATTTTTAGAAAATATATAGTGAATAGGAATTAAGCAATGCTTAGTGTAGCTATGTCAACGAGTAGAGTTGAGTCGAGCCGAGCCCAAAAAAAAAAGTTCGGGCTCGACTCGAGTTTTTTTGAGCCCTAACCGAGCCGAGCAAAGCCTGACAAAAAAAAAATGAGACTCGACCATAGCCGACTCGGGTTTTTTGAATTTTTTTTTTATAATAATTGAAAGCTGCACAGGCAGCTCTTTTAAGAAAAAAAATTAAATTTTTTTTTTATATATAATGGGCATGCTCGCACTGGCCATGGGCAGACCCGGGCTCGAGCCGACGCCCTAAAATGGGGCTCGGCCCTAGTCTTGGCTTGGTGTAACCGAGCTCGAGCCGGGCCCGACTCGGGCTTTTTCCGAGCCGAGCTCGAGCCGACGAGCTGTTTTGCTATTCATAGATTAGTGTAGATAAAAATCAAATTTTGTTAGATTTTGATAAAATTAATGAAATATGTGATTGTAAAATGATATATCCAATTAAATATGAGTAATACTATTTGCAGTCGCTCACTATCGTAATTGTCCTATGTGACAACATACATATGTCGATTAGTGATTTGATGCATTAATGTGGTGATTTTTTTTTTATTTAATGTATCAAATTATTTATTGTGTCATATATCAAATCACTAACCGTCACATGTATGTTACATATGGTGATTATAGTATTGAGCAGCTGTAAATAACATTATTCATGAAATATATAATTAAAATTAATTGTTATGTTAGATTTAAATTTCAATATTCCTTTTAGGCCATGTTTGGGAGAAATTTTAATCAAGATTTTAATCAAAATTCTAGCCGTTAACTATCAAATCAGCCACCATTTTTGACTTTCTCTCTCACAGATGAAGCCTACAGATTGACTATAACGGCTATAATTTTGATTAAAATCTCACAAAAATTGTTCCCAAACACGCTCTTAATTGAAATTGTAAGCAGCCAACCATTTTCTCCGTTCCATGTCAAACTGGGATGTCTTACGTCTTTCTAGAAGTGAGCAGCCACAACCATTTTCTGCTTTCCGTGTCAAACTGTGACGTCTTACGTCTTTCTAGAACTGAGGAAAAATAATATGCCAAATTCAGCGCGTGGGTGGGTGTTTGCCAAAATATATTAATTCATTCGTCTCTGCCGTTATAAAATCCACCATTAATCCCTACAATCTCTGTCAAAGTGATCCACTTTTCTCAATTTTCCAAAAGCATTCTAAACCAAGATTAGGTCTCTGTTTTAATTCTCTCAACTGAACTGGGATATCTTTTGACTTATTTTTGTCAAAAATATGGAAAACTCGTTGGGTTTGCTAAGAATCCACGTCATCAGAGGCATAAACCTTGCTAAAAGAGATGCCAGAAGCAGCGATCCTTACGTCCTTGTTAAGATGGCCAATCAGGTTAACAGACGATTGCTCCTCTTTTTTCATACGACAACCTTTTCAATTCCTTAATTCATCAGTTTCAATTTCAAGAAATGAAAAGTGAGTCACAGTTATATTCAGACTCTTTTTCGAGTATTTTAAGAAACAATTTGTAACATTTATTGAGTAATTTCCTGTAAAATAGTAAATGAAATTTGAGTTTTATGTAATAATTTGTAACAAGTCTAACTTGTAAACTGGAAACTTTCTTGTCTATGTGGAATTCAGCTCTCTGTTTTTCTAACCATTTCTGCTATTGTTATGTGAATATAATTATTGAGCCAAAAATGCTAACTGTATGTATAATTGTTACAGAAATTGAAGACTCGTGTTGTGAAAAAGAATGTCAATCCTGAGTGGAATGATGAACTCACTTTATCTATTGCTGATCCAAATCTTCCAATCAAGCTGGTAACTTCTTCTTCTTCTTCCTTTCTCCCCATACATAGAGATGTTAGGATCAGCTGACACATATGTTACCTTGTGAAATTTGTCAACAGAATCAAGAAAAGGATCTCTATGTTGATACTTGTAGTCTTGTACCAATTATAATTATCATGGAATATTCTAGTGACTCTTATGATAGATTCTTTCATTTTTTGCAGGAAGTTTATGATAGAGATACATTCACTCGAGACGACAAAATGGGAGATGCAGAATTTGACATCAAAACATTTGTCGAAGTTGTAAGGATGCGCTTGCAGAAAATTCCAAGTGGAACTATAATCACAAAAATAAAACCTACCCGGCAAAACTGCCTAGCCGGGGAAAGCCCTATTACCTGGGAAAATCAGAAAGTAATTCAGCATATGTTTTTAAGACTTAGAAATGTCGAGTGCGGGGAAATCGAACTCCAGTTGCAGTGGATAGAAATTCCAGACTCCAGGGGTGCGTAGTGTGATTTATAGTGTCAAGTTTGTCCATGTTGTACAGTACGATTGATTTGTTTCTTAGTTGAAATACTCATAGTCGTCAATTTTTCCAGAATCATAGTAACTTTAGGATAATCCTCGGCAACCCCTTTTACTTTCCTAAAAAAATGTTACCAAGGAAAATGTAAAATTGGATATCCGAGGAATGTATTTAATCTAGACTTGTTTTACTTTGTTCTGATCATAATGAGCAATTATAGGGTTCTAGTGGAGGAATGTAAAACTGACTTATTGTTGAATATTGCATGTATTCTATTTCATTCTTCTGTCTTTCATATTTTGATCTCCAAGTTTCCCACTTTCTTGTATGTTTCCTTGCTTGTTCTTCCCTCCCCGTCTTCCATCTCTATCACCTACATTGTAGTGAAACTTTTTCTGTAAGTGTTTTTTATCCCCCTCAATTACACAATTATGTATTGTTCCCAAGAGTGTTATACAATCGTGGCAGAACCGGCAGAGCCTTACTCTTCTTCAAGTAGCACAAAACGTTTGAAATATCAGTACATACATACCGGGAGGCGCCTTTACTTAAATACCTTGGGATTTCATATTTCAGATTTCCATATCATTGCTAAAGTTGAGCACACAGCATCTTACTATTGTTTAAACATAGCCAGGTTCCTCCTCAATTGCTAAGTAGCCTGGAGAAGGTAATTTTCCACCAAATTTGACACTTCAATTGTCGAGGCAGCATAGATATCTGGATTGGGGATGGCCTCAAAAGCTTTCACATAACCATTATTTTCTAACTATTTTTCCTACATATTTATTTTCAACAACACATTCACACAACAAAATATTCTGCACGTAAATTCAAAACTATTTCCTACTTTTTAACTACACATTCTTCTAAAAATCACTATTCAAAACTCAATTGTCCCATTAGGCTATCAAACAGGGGTTGATTAGAACAATTGGCGATGCCATCATTCACTGTGTGGCCTTGAAACTTATGTACAGTTGCATAAGACATTCGTCCACGACTATAGCATACGCCTCCCATGACAAACTTAAACGTCATGAGAAAGTCCCTATATGGATGAACCATCCACCATGTAGGGAAGCTTGGGCGCCATGGAGAAAATGGTCGGATCTCAAAGGGGACGAGCTCATAAGTGCTCCGAAGTGTACAATACATGCCTCCTATGAGGAAACTGAATGTCATGGGAGAAGATCCTACATGGATGAACCATCCATCATGTAGGGAAGCGTGGACGTCTCAAAGAAGAGGGTCGGATCCCAAAGGGGACGACCTCATGAGTTCTCTGAAACATACAACACATGCCTCCCATAAAGCTGAACATCATGGAAAAAATCCCTACATAAATAAACCACCCACCATGTAGGGAAGTTCCACAAAGATAGAAATAATTTACAAAATATGATTTATTCGCATATAAAGTATCTATTCCAACAAATTGTTGTTGGGCATCAACCTAGCAATTCTAGTTGTGCAAAGAGCCCAATCAATGTAGAGGTTCATCCATACTTTAAAGAATTCACTGCACTTAATTGAGATTAGCTTGAAGGTTCGATTGTACTTCAATTATATGGATTAGCCAACGTCCTCATACTTAACAAAAATTAAACGGCACTAAGTACGTGCTAAAGTAAATTTCATTAATAATTGCATGATATACAATTGGGGGCCTCAACAATTACATAAAAAATGTCCTATACTATGTCGGATGTGACCGGGAGCCCGATATCTCAGTAGTAGGAGCCTAGCAGCAGGAGCTTCTTGGTTTGAATCGTCTTCCTCGAGAGCTCCCTCTTGGTCTACTTCTACACCATCCGCCTCCATTGCATCATTAGCTAGAGTCTGGGGGCACTTTCTCCAAGAAATCTAGCCTCAATTTGGCAGCATCAAGTTTTGGATAAAGCTCCCCACCCTATCCACCACCTCAACATAGGCGAACTTTTTCCAGTATGCATCGAAGCAAAGATATTTTTTCGTCAAGAAAAAGTTGGTAATGTAGTTCTTCACCGCTTCCTCACTCACCTTCTAAGCATCAACTTTGGTGTGCTGAGCCTCGTTACATAGTATTGCAACTGGGACTCTAAGAACCCATCTATGTCATTTAGGCCAGCATTTTCTAAGCTGGCTTTTTCTATAGTTTTTCGGCTGTAAGCTTCTGATGGTTGTTTGAAGTCCCCACCTTTTTTGTTAAAGAAGTCACTTCACATTGAGACTCGTGACCTCTTTCTTCAAAGCTTCGATTTCAACTAAGATAGAATCCAATTTAACTGCCTCTTCAGCACACTGGGTCATTAGTTCCTTAGCCTAACCCTTTTGGCCTCCTCCGCCTGGGCCAATTTCTCAACCGACTCTCGCTTACACTTCTGAATATCCTTCAGGACCACTGGAAACTCAAGGGCCACCCCCAAAGCCCAACACTTAGGCTTACTAGGGTTGTTGTTAGATCCACCGCATCACACGTGGAAACGTAGTTCTGCCATTTTTTAGTCCAGAATTTTTAAAATTTGGCAGTTGCTGGTTGGACTTCTGGTAGCAGGATGTCCAGAACTGTTGGGGTAATATCCTCATCTTTCCCCGCCAAAACCTCCCCGATTTATAAGGATTTCTCACCATTAGTATCTTTTCCACTACGCTCTACCTCCTTCGCAACCTCTTCATTGGCTTCCCTATCTTTTTTAGCCTTTACAGCAGAAAAAGAAGACTACATTAGCTTTGGATCTGATGGAGGTGGAGGTAACTGAGCCACTGAGACACCTAAAGCGCCGAACTTCCTAGCAACAGAGATGGTGGAATGGGGAATTTTCCACTTCTTCTAAGGCTTATTCTCCATCTTTCTCTTACCCTTGTCCTTCCCCTTCTCCTAGGGCACCTTCTCGTCACTCTTCTCAGTATACTCATTGTTGAGACTCTCAAGCTTCTCCTTAACATACTTAGCATCACTAGAAGAGGGCTTCAAAGCCCTGAAGTTCACAGTAGAAGTGGCCCTCAATATGGAAGCCATATCAGGGGTGGGATACTTCTTTTTTCGAAAGTCTTCTGTAAGAACACAACACTTTGTTAATTTTGTTGATATGAAAAGAAGAAATTACAAAGCTTAGACATTTACCTCTGGAAGCCATCAATCTAAAGTCCAAGAAAATTTTGTCACGATCAATGAAGCGGTCGAAGATGTGTGATCTCTGAAGATGTCGGTATTTGTTCGCGATAACGTCCTACTTAGTTTGGGACCGTTCGAATCGGTGTCCTGAAACTACAAAAGGAATAGTATCAATTAGTCATTACAGAAACAACTATTGCTTGAAAAAAAAACTAACTCACAAGTTTTAGAATACTAGGTTGGTACAGTAGCAGCTAGGACCTTATCACCCTCAATGATTTGCCATCTACCCCTCACCCAAAACTAGGACTCATTCTACCCTTTGATGGAGGAAGATCTGGGCTCCCCAAGCAATCATGCAGTATCACCTTTTCGACTCCTCCTTCCTAAGTATGCGAGGTTGGAAAATTGTTTGGAAAACGTGCAAAGGCATGTTCTCAACAAGTGAGGTCTCCTTCTAGAGAAAGTATACCCTCTACCAACTGGAACCACCCATTTGGTAAAACTCAGGTCGGAGCCAACATGTAAGCCCTCAGTACTGCTCTAGAAAACGGGTGCAGAGGCAGATGCATACCTGCCTTGAACAGGTATTAACTAATGGGTACGTATCCCAGCCTCGGATAACAGGCACGTCGTGGGCTTCGGGAGTTAGAAGTTCTATGGAATTTGGGATCCTATATTTCTCCCTAATCTCAACCAACTTCTCAAGGCTCATAGCATATGGGATTTTTGCAGCCCCACCTCGCCTCATAATCAATGGGCCTTTCACTACCCACAAACCCCTTCCCGACCCACCAGGTAACGTTTGTTCCCCAACCCGTGCGAGGGTAATCCTGCTACTACCAGCACTTGAACCAAAAACCATAAAAAGGAAAAATTTTAAGAGCAAATGAATAGAAAGTTATCAAGAAGAAAGAAGAGTAAGCTCTAAGAACGTGCTATTGGCAAAGAACAGAAATTGTTGGAGAATTTTAGAGTGCATAAAAGATTCAAGAATTTCGCAAAGGTAAAAAACCACAAAAATGGCAAACCTTTGGCTTTTATAGACGAAGACAATGAAGCACAGCCGTCAGATTTTGATCCAGTTAATCGGAATTGTCCTTTTCCAATTTAATCTGAGGAGTTGAATTCAAACGATTTTTACCATCTAGGCTTCAGATTAATGCATGTTTTCTCACGCATGCGCTTCAACGTGTCAGCCTAAAAATGCGGCAACATGACCATCATTACACATTCAATATAACGGCCGATGAGTGTATTAGAAGTAGAACCGCTTTAGTTGTCTTTTCTTGGTAACATACAAAACATCAAATCATTGGCACGATTATCAAGCGCACTTTGTTTTTAATTTAAATAAGGAATTTCAGCAGTTCAGTACTTAGTGCTTCAACTCATAAATCAAATTTTAGCTACTTTCAATGTAAATGAGGAGTTTCGGCAGTTTATGAAAATAGGACATACGAGGTTCGGGTTATTTCAAATTCCGACTATAATATTAATATTTATACTTGAACTTGGGGGACTATTGTGTTACGTAAAAAAAAGAACCTAACCATGGCAGAAAAACATTCGCCTCAACAAAGAAACATTGCACAAAAAAGAAGTCCATGCATAACATGAATAATCATACATGGACTTAGGAGACTATTGTTACGTCAAGCCAAATCTGAGGCTCCACATGTAGCCTACATGTCATCCCACATGGAGTGGCACCCTACACAAGTTTCTCCGAAGTACCGAAGCCATCTAGCCGAAGTGGTGGTGGTATTAAATGAAGCCAAGTCCAAGGATCTACCATGGAATAGGATGACCCACCTCTTTAGGAGATCTCCTATTGATAAAATCTTATTCGAGTGATTGATGTGACTCCTTTAATGAGTGACATGT